CAGCTGCCTTCCTGCGAGGCCGCTATGGGCTCGACAAGGATGAGATGGGCGAGTGGCGTCTCATAGAGTACGTGCTGGACGATCAGGCCGACAGCTGGCGAGATGACAAGTTGGTGGCGGCGGATCGGCAGCGACCACCACGAGGCGCCCTTGACGATCGGCTCTTCGGCGGCGGCGGGGGCGGTGCCGCCGCGCCCCCTGGGGAGCCCACGGTTGCGGCTGTCGCGGCGGGCACTGGCGAGGAGCAGGCCGAGAATCTGCGCGCGCGCTGGATCGACGTCGACGAGACAGGTTCGAGGTTCAAGGGGTGGCGCAGGGTAGTGCAGGAGAGCACGCAGGAGGTGTTCTCGGACTCGAGCCTGCGCGGGCCGCCTGCCTGCCTGGAGGTGTGCCGTAAGATGTATCGGCACGGCGGCGCGCCCGAGATCTGTTTCCAGGAGTGGTGCAAGGAGACAGGGATCTCTCGACGGGATCGTGCATACCACGAGGTGCAGACACTCATCGAGTGCTTGTACCTCGCGGGCACCTACGACGAACAGGTGAACATGGGAGCGCTGGCGTCGCTGGAGGTGATCGCCCGCCGGCTGCTGCAGTGCACGGAGGCATGCGCGCACGGTGCGGACCACGCGAACTTGGCGGCGGCGAAGCACCTGGCGGGGACGACGAACCCGCTGGACCTGGTGCCCGAGGCGCTGCGGAGCTACGCCGGCCGGCTGAGCAAGGAGGAGCACGAGCTGGAGGCGCTGCGGGCGCGGGCAAAGACGCCTGCGGCCTTTTCGGCTGAGGGCGGTCGCGGCGCTGCGGCTGCCGCGGTGGGCGCTGGCGGCTTGCCGATCGGAGGCGGCGCTGGAGGTGGTGGAGCTGGAGATGGTGCTGATGCAGGCCGTGGCCGTGGCCGCGGCCGAGGCCGAGGCGGGCGGGGTCGAGGCCCCCGCCCGCCGGACTCGTGACGTCCTTGGCGGAGGGGGGCGGGCGCCCGACCGCTCCCTGTAGATCGAAAGGCACCAGAGGGCTACGCGGCGCTTCCTTCTTGCCGCTGACGTTGTGATGTCAAATGAGCTACAGGAAGATATTACAAAAGTAGTGAAAAAGTACCGGCAACTTAGTGCAAACATGTTTTCCGAAGTAGTGAAAACATAGTCCCCGAAATCTGGCCACTAACGTAAACAAAAACAACCACGTGTATACACTAGTGTGCTTATTTTTGACACTAGTACAGCGGTAAACGCACCCGAACCAACTTTACCGCGTGGCAGCTACCGTGAAGCAGACGCGGATAAACAACTATCCCAGTACAGAGCTTAGTGTGGGCCCCCCATCTAACCCCCCCTTCCTCCCTCTCATCTTCTTCCACTCCCCGTCATCATTGTTATTACTCTTCCCCCCCCCTTCATTACCATCCTCATCGTCATTGCCATGTACCTCTCCTCCCCAATCGCCACTGGCCGCCCGACCTTTGAACGTGCGATCGTTTTTCCAGCATGCGTGTCGTCATCTGCCTCCGCCCCCCCCCAGTGTCTTTGTATTCACCCCTCGCTGGCGTGGGCGAGGGGTGAATACAAAGACAGTGGGCGTTGGAGGCGCGCGAGGGCGATGCGAGGGACGGCGAGGCGAGGAGCCTGTGCCCCCTGCTCGTATGGGTTCAAATGTGGATCCCTGCGAGGGACGGTGAGGCGAGGAGGCGAGGTGTTCAAATATGGATCCCTGCTCGTATGGGGGCTCCGTCGATGGCTCTAGCGACCATGTTCGTATAGGGGTACTCCCCATACCTGCACACCCCTTGCACGTTTCGTGGCCCCGACGGGAGCTCCACTGAGGGCCCGAATGGCCACGTTCGCATGAGGGGTCCACGTCAATTTCGGCACGCCCCTCCCACGCGTCGCTGCCACGTAGTGGCTGGCACACCCAATTGCCTTAAACAAGATAGGTCGGAACTAGTGTAAGTGCAGGCTCTGTTTGAGGAATGTGCATAAGTGCGTGAACTGCTAGTTGCTATCCAACTGCCTGCGGCGAATCCAGCCACCGTGCCAGAGCAGCAGCGCGGCGTGAAAGAGGCTAAGTTAAAGACGCATGTAGTTGCTTCTCTGGGGCACCTTGAGGGCCTATCGGGAGCCTTTGGGGTCCGTTCGGGGAACTTCTGGTGGCGGTCTCTAGGGGAATCTCTCGGGGGCATAGTTTAGGAATAGATCCCCACATGGGCTCACACTGGACCCCGAAAGCCCCATTAACATCCATGGGGAACCTCTCGGAGGCATAGTTTAGGAATAGATCCCCACATGGGCTCACACTGGACCTCGAAAGCCCCGTTAACATCCATCTTCAGCTCATCCGTAATGGTTTCCAGCAGTGCCCAATCATGGCTGCGCAGCACCCGTTCGCTGCGCTGGCAGACGCTGCTGCTGTCGAGGCAGTTTCGCCGTTCGCTGCGCTTGCAGACGCTGCTGTCGAGGCAGTTTCGCCGTTCGCTGTGCTTGCAGACGCTGCTGTCGAGGAGGCAGTTTCGCCGTTCGCTGCATTGGCAGACGCGGCTGTCGAGGCACTTTCGCCGTTCGCTGCATTGGCAGACGCTGTTGTCGAGGAGGTAGTTTCGCCGTTCGCTGCATTGGCAGACGCTGCTGTCGAGGACACAGTTTCGGCGTTCGCTGCATTGGCAGACGGTGCTGTCGAGGAGGCAAGTTTCGCCGTTCGCTGTGATGACAGTCTCTTGCATGGACTGCCCTCGTCGCACCGCAGGGGTCGCAAACGGAATGCTGACCTAGTAATCGCCTCTGCCGCTCCGCTCGGTTTGGCTGCTGCTGCAAATCAATGCCAGTTGGACGCTGCCGATGCCATGCATGCACATGCTGACCACCAGCTGCGAGTGCGCCGTCAGGTTTTGTTGGGGCCAGTGCCGTCGTGTCTCCGACCGAGGGCCCAGTCCAGCACCGATTGCACCCAGAGCATGCCGCAGGATGTAGTGCGATCGCTTCTGACTGGGTCAGGCGCCAATCTTGTCCAACTGGGCCATCTTGAAAACACTCTGTCTGCGGCTCTGACCACCGTTGCAGGGCAAAGTTGCGAACTAGACAGTGCAACTTTGACCTTCTCGGAGTTCATGTGCGAGCGTCCCCGTCTCAGCATCGTTGCCTCTACCGCCAGTATGAGCGAGCAACTCCATATGACCCGCGCCGCTTTCTTGGCCAGAGAGATCAGAGTTGCTAGCGCTACGTTGCTATGCTCTTGGAGCGAGAGGAGATCGTTCGAGATGTCGATTGCTCGCGCTGTGGAGCGAGAGCAGATCGATGCTGTCTTCTTCTGCGAGGCTGGCCGCATGGACGAAACCCCGATGAGCACGAGAAGCCATGCTGCAACTACCCCGATTGGGAACCTCCGTGCAATGGAGAGCCAGTCGTCCCAGCAGATCGTTCAGAAGCCTGTCATCGACAATGCTGATCTGAGGGCATATGTGTCCCAAGCGCCAGATGGGGGTGGTACTTCGAAGATTCTCCATGTGGAATGCAATTTTGGTTATGTGGTTGCCTGGCGGAGATCATCGGGTCAACGAATTGTGTGTGCTCTGTTGTTCAGGCAACCTTGTCGGCTTTTCGTCGTGGACCGCACGACTGCTGTGAACTTGCGTATGGCACTGCGCAGGGCTGATTCGGCGAGCCTGGCTTTGACAGTTTTCAAGAGGAAGTCGAGGATTGTGTGCAACGACAAAGCTGGGGGCAATCGGCTGTCTGAGCGGGCCCATGCGCACGACCGTCGCTATGCTGGCTTCGGTGAGACTGCCCTCTTCGACTGCGAGGTGCACGTGGCAGCCACCATGCATGCGCATGTGTTCCGCCGTATTGACGATGAAGTTACCGGCCTGGTGCGCGTGGCGCTGAGCTTGGCTGGCCACTCGAACATGGGGAAATTCAGGAAGATTGCGGAAGCCACTGTGCTCAGGCGCGTCCGCATCAAGCTTGGCGTCTTGAGTCCAGAGGCGCTGTCCTGGCGGACTCGTGCGATGTATTTGTTTTGCGGTCAAGGTCTCAAAGCTGCGCAAAGGTTGATCTGTCTTGGCATCTACCCAAACGGCGACTGGAGGAACCGCGTGGACGTCGAGCTGTATGTTACCCAGGCCGATCTGATAAAGTATGGCGAGGGCATGCTGAAAAACATGTGTGCGCATGGGGTGTCTTATAGTTTGGTTGGTGCTGCGCCTAAGGACTGCTGGGCCGAATCCGCCGACCCTGATGGGATGTCGTTCGCGCGGGGCGTTGTTTCCACAGCAACACTTCGCCAGACCCCGCGAGGGGGTCACGACGGGTAGAAGGGCACTGGGGTGGGGAGATAGGGGTAGGACGACGACGACCCCCAACGAGACGGATGACGACGACAAATACTGCAACGACAACGATGGAGGGGGGGGCGGACGGTGGCGGGCAGGACGAGGGGGGACAGGAAAAGGAGGGCAGAGCGACAACGACGACGACAACGACGGTAGGGGGAATGACGACGAGGAGGAGGAGGAGGAGGCTGAGCAGGGAGGACGACGACAAGGACGCGGACATTGCAGAGGATTGGGAGGACGAGAGGGAGGAAACTAGCGACAAGGACGATGACGACGAGGAGGGCAACAAAGATGAGGAGTGGAGGTTCAACGGGTTCTGGGCAATATATTTGGGAAGTGTTGTCTGGTGTGCGTAGGGGCCGTTGGGAGCGGGGGCGTGCAATGCGCCCCCAGATGGTAACATCCAATATGGATAGTGAGATCCGTCAGCGACGTGCATGCGCATTCCCCAATTAGGCACGAGTCCACGCCCAGCGTATCAAACTTGTTCCTGATTGGAGTCGTGCTGGTGTCCTCGGGGAGGGGCTCTCAAGTCTTGGCCCCCGAGTTGCAACGCCCCGTCGCTAACGAATAGAGTTTAGATTTTGCGTTCAAGCAGGTTTACGAGCGCAAACGCTGGACTGGCATGGAAGCGTCTATCGAGTCGTTGGGCCGTCTGTCTGCATGCCATGGTCTGCTCGAGGAGTGTTATGCTGCATTCTGCAAGTCTTTCCACGCCACTGGCGAAGCTGCAAATGGGTTTCCTGAAGCTTCGGCTGATGCTGATGGCGAAGGTGGGCAGGGCGGCGCTGCTGCTGATGGCGTCGGCGCTGAGCCAGGGGGTCCTGCCCCCGACTCATGGCAGAAGGAGAATGCACTGCGCAGGAGGCTGGGCATGAAATTCATCAGTGGAGATCCGTTCGCACGTTTGGTTTTGATGCGTTTGTGCGTTGAGCCGCTTAGGCTCCTGTTGGCAGACAAGTTCGCGCTCGCTGCAGACGAGTTCGAGGCGGCGCAGAGGGCAAAAGAATTGGATCAACCACCAGGGCCTGCTGGGGCAGGTCTAACATGTCGGTCTTATCGAATTCTCGAGGCTGCTACCAACGTTCACGAGGAGCGTGCGCTTGCTAAACTGAGATTGCTTTTCAGACAACCCGATATGTGGTCGCTGATGCCAGTTTCCTCCCACCTTGAGTCCCGCTGTGCTTTGGCGTTTCGGATCCTGTCAGCAGCGGGCGCGCTACTGGAAGAGTTGTTGATGAGCGTCCACAGGAACTACCCATATCGCTTATTCGTGGCTTTACTGGACGGCGCTGCGCTGGATGATGCGCTTTCCGACGCCCCTTGCATCCGTGATTTCTTTTCAAGAGATTGGTTGGAGCGGCCTGATTTGCGGACGCGCGAGGGCAAGGTGTCCCTGGCGCTGATGGCGATTCTTGCTCGGACAGAGATTTCGGGGATAGAGTGCTTGCATGGCTCCCTGCGACGGCTATTATTCTCCATGGGGTTACAAACCCACCTGCCGTCCTTCGAGCAGGCTTCTGCGAGATGGATGTCATCGAGGTGGGGGAAGGAGGAGCGAGATCCGAGCAACTTTCGCAACCGAGCTGCTGCCGACGACGCCACCTCTGGACTCCCGTCCGAGACCGAGGGCCAGGCGAACCTGCAGAGTGGCCCTGCGCCGCGGGGGGGGAGGGGGCGCGTGGAGAGCGTTTATCCACGCTGAGACACGCGGGACTACTGGGCGACCTGATTTGCGTGCACTCGCCGAGCAATACAGACAGTTGAATGCAGAACGAATTGCCGAGTTGAGTGCGTTGGGGAGGAAGGCTACCACGATGCACAGCCTCAATCCAGACATGATGTCATTTGGTCCTGCCCAGAGTGATGCTGATGCTTTTCTTCAGGCTCGCGCCGACGCTGCTCAGGTTCAACAGCCCAGAGGCCTACTGCCGTTCAGACCTTCGATCTGGCCATGTCCGTTGTGAAAGAGAGTGAAGGTTTCAGATCAACACATGGTCTTTCTTCGGCGTGCCGCAGAGTTCGGGCAGTGACTAAACAGTCGAAGCTTTTGGCGGCTGAGCGCACTCATAAGTTGCAGACGTATTCGGATGTCGATGCTCGAGCCGCCGCCAAGGAACTGTCTGGTATGCTGGGGTTACCGGACAGCCAACGCATTGATCTCTTCCCAGTGCCCAACCGCGCCTTTCCTTTATTCGAAGTGCAGAGCCACGCTAACAAACGTGCATCAAAATTGGTGGCAACTACCTTCCCGAAGAACGACTCATCACCATCGTCGTCCGCTTGCCGTCAGCTTGGCATGGGCCTGGAGGCATTCTGGCACGCTCAACATTCAGACCTGAGGCAAGCAGATGCAGACCCAATACCACCGCGCGTGAAGGTCATGCGAGAGTCGCTATGTTCGCAAGCTGGGTTTTGCGTGTGCACTGGGACGGGGAAGAAAGTCAAAGCTCTTCGAACCAAACTGCTACAACAATTGTCAAGCTGGTTCCCTCGAGCGGACTCCGCTTCCAGGAAGCACCTGCAGGACGGCATGTACGCGCTACGCATTGTCGGGTGCCCTGTCGGTGAGGTTGACGGCGGCGACGGGGCAGGAGGACATTTTCTCGGCCCAGGCGAGAACCACTTCTGGGTTCACATTGCTGCTATGTACCTTTCCCCATGGCGACCGTCCCTGCATACGATGACGCCCTGTGGTGTCGAGGAGGGCGGTGTTATTGTATTGCATAGCGATTTGCAGTGGCTGACCTTGTGGGACTTCTGTGAGGCGTTTGGTCGGGACGACTTCGTTTTCGGGATGGACGTTTGGGAGATCTTGCATCGCAGGAAAGCTGCTGCCCAATTCGACCCGCGCAGAGTCAGCGTTCGCAGGCTCGCGTCTGGACGAGGCGAGTTCAAGGTGTTTTATTATGAGAAAAAGACGAAGGCTCGACCGAGCCGCAGGGCCCTTGCATTGCAAGAGCAGGCAGATGAGCTAGACACAGTCGACTTGGCACTCGAGGAGGCTCATGAGGACGGCGGCGATGCAGGGGTTCCCGACGATACTGGTGGAGTTGCCGATGTGATCGATCACGCTGCTGGCGACGTGGGCGGTGAGGAGCCTGACCAGCCTGATGAGCCTGAGGAGCCTGACCCCCCTCCCGACCACGGCGACGATGGTCCTGGGCCTCCAGGTGGCGGGGGGCCTCATCCAGAGGATCCACCGCCAGCCCCACCTGCGCCAGATCCACCTGAGCCTCGACCGCCACGTGCCATCGGTGGCGAGCGTGCGGCAGGCGGCCACGTCGTGGCTGAAGCATCGTGCATTATCCCTGGCAGGGGCAGGATTGCTTTTCATGTGTCGAAGAACGCATTCGAGACGACGTGCCAATGTGGCCACGCTGGCAAGTGCACTAAGACTCGGACAAGAAACAGGAACCCACGACACCCACCTGCTGGGCGACCGCTGGGGTATTTGGTAGCCTGGCTATTGCGAGATGTCGGCGACAAGCCCGCTCACCAATGTATCGATATTCGGTGGGGTCAGGGGGCTTGCCCAAGTTACGACGAGCGCCTTGCTGCGCGGATCTGGGCTCGCAACACCTTCCCGAGTTTCCAGGCGTTGGAGGAGCTCGAGGGCGACAGGAGGGACGGCGAGGGCGAGGAGCCTGTGCTGTGCTGTTGAGATAGGCAGTGTAATGCCCGATGAAAAAAACACAAACATTATCCTGTAAGCTCACCCTTTAAGCGTTTCAAGTGAGGATCCGTGTTCGTAGAGGGCTCCGTCGATGGCCTTCACCAGGTTCGCATAAAGGGGCCTGCCAATGCCTGCCCACTCCTCACACGCCTCCTGGCCCCGAAGGGAGCTCCACCGAGGGCCCGAGTGGCCACGTTCGCATGAGAGGTCCACGCCTATTTCGACACGCCCCTCACACTTCCGCTGCCGGGGAGGTAGCCAGGTTGCCCACCCAATCGCTTTAAGCAGCCTAATCAAGCACTCATGAGTGCAGGCACTGTGTGAGGCCTGCATGCAAATGATGACACATTCGTTGCTACCCAGCTGTCCGCGGCGATTTCCACCGCCGCGCCAGGGCAGCAGAACGCATGCATATGTTAATGACGCGTGCATGTGTGTCGCTCTGGCATCTTGAAGGCTGATCGGGGGCCTGTAAGGTACTGTCGGGGGGGGGCATATGGTGGTGGTCTCTAGGGGGGGCTCTGGGAAACGGTGTGGGGGTCTCCTGGGCCTCTTGGGGGCGCGCATGGATCGCCGCGCGCGGCTCGCGAGGGCCCCGAACGTGCCTCCAGAGGGACCGAATACTGCCCCAAGATAGCGCCAAACCAATTCGAAGACGGCGGAAGCTCGCGCCGTTTGTCAGCGCGAGCTGTTTCGACAACGCGAGCTCCCTCACCATGTCGCAATGTGGCACCGCGGGGGCTCCGAGAGGGTCCGAGAGGCCAATGTGAAGTGCCCAATATTGTCCCACGAACGCTCCAAGAAGGCACCGCGAAGGCCTCATGGCCAAGAATCGCATGCCAAGATAGGTTCCGAATGCCCGCGAATGCCAACCCACGAGGGCGTCAAGGCAACCGCGCCTTTCCTCAGACAAACATGTCCAATCAACTTCCTGGGGTATCATGGGCAAACCTGCACAGGAATAGGTGTGACCAGGAAGCCATATGAACAAACACAGAACACGAACGAGCCCCTCAACACCATTCACACACCCTTCAAGCCAAACATCAATCACGCTACAGTGTGCACGCAACATGCCTTCCAGCCAGCGTCACATACACGACGTGCACGCGCTATTGGTGCCCGTCGGGTCCTCTTGACAGCCCTCTCGGGGTCCTCCCAAGCTTTCTTGCAGACCCTCATGGGGCAACATTGGGGCCCAACTTGGGGCCTCACGAGGGCCAACATCTGGCTCCGAGAGGGCCCATGAGACCGCCCCAGAAGACTCCAAAGGGACGCCCGCACCAGGGGAAACGGCAATCAAGGTGCTGTGCGCAACGTTCCCCATCTTGGATGCCTCTTGGGATGCTGATATTGCCCTCACACGCCTTCTCAGAACAGGCCTTGTTCGTTACACGGTGCCCGTTCCTATGTCTGTCAATTGTTCAGAGATCGTTGCAGGCGCGTATGTCGTATTATCCTCATTGCAATTCTGGTCGGTGTAGGGTTTGGCTCAGTACGTTTGCAGGGCACCACTGTGCGATTGCGGCAACACCGCATAGTGCCACTTGCCAATGGAAAAGGTTGATGTGGAGAGGTATCCAAAAATAGTGATTTCATTAGATGAGCTGCCTCTAGGCTACCTCAGGAAAGAGATTCTTAACATTCCTTTCCAAGTGGAGATCCGCTCCAAACGTGAGGTTCAATCGAATGCAGAACAACGAGAGCTGTATCATCTGCTACAGGGCAAACCAAACATCGACCCAGAGCGGGATGCGAAACGGGCGAAGTGTTCCAGCATAGTTCCTCAGCAGCTTCCTGACCCGATCGCAGTCATCGATAGCCCTCCTCCTGATCAACCCGACGGCCAAGACGGTTCAAAAGTTTCCCCTAGCAGTGCGGATAAGTCAGCTCTTGATGATGCAGGACTTGCTGCCCCACCGAATGCCAAAGCGACGCCGACATTGCCAGGTCACAGCATGTTGCCATCGGAAGTTGTGCTACGATCCTCATCTGCCGCCTCGTCGACAGCAGGGGGGCCTCCTCAGCACGCTCCAACACCAGCAGCAGCATCAGCGAGTCAGGCCATCAGCAACGTGGACAACCACACCCTGGACTACAACTACATGTCGCCTGTGATGAGTCGGCTGCCCCTGCCGTCCTTCAAGCGAGTTGTCGCTAACCTGTCCAAGGATGATGACAAGGCGGCCCAGCGTGATCTGTTTGAGGACAGTCGTGGTCGTGGAGTGACGCGTCAGGACACGCTGGTTGAGGAGGGGACACAGCCACCATTTGACCAGATGGCTTTGGAGTCGCAGATGGAGGATTCGATGCATTTGTGATTTTGCTGTATGGTAGGTTCAATGTTGTTCTATGCTTGTGCGCTGCAACGGTGCCACCCGCATGGGCGACGTGCTGAGACTTTCGTGCGCAGGCCAATGAGGAGCCACTGGCGCGAAGTAAAACACACAATCCAAACTGCCACTCCGACCGCCGACCCCGCTGGTCCGTGTGAGGGGCGTGCTGGCATGGGCGTCCGCCACCACCGCTCCCCCCGCCAATGGGTCCCTGGGTTTTCAGGGCCATCGGGCCTAGGATTGCCTAGGGCCTAGGAGCTCCAAAGTATCATGATGTGTCTGGGGTCAATGCTCTCGGGTGTTGTGGGGTCTCCTGAGGGCCCCCTGCCCCCATCCCCTCCAGGGCGCGTGGCGCGATGCGACGCCAATGGGCTTTCTAAGACATCGGCGGGGAGGGGGGTGGGAGGGCGAAATCATCAACGCTTGGACTACACTTTACGTTCTACGCAAACTATATGCGGTTCAGATGCGCGGTGCGCGCGTGGCTGGAAATGGGGAAGACGTTAATGACTAAGGCGGGGGTGGGGGTG